TGCAAAACAAGGTTTAGAAATACAATATACCAGGTTTTCCAATGCACACATTTAAGAATTATTTAAATATTATAATAAAATTATATAATAAATTTAAAGTATTTATGAAAAGACAATAATATTTATAATAGATTTGATAATATTCATATTATTAGTAAATTATATTTTTATAAAATTTATCACAAAATTGTGTACTAACAATATAAATTATAATTTTATGGATTATTCAATTTAAATGTTATTCAAATGATAAAAATCTGACATTAAAAAATAAAATATTATTTAAATATTTCAATAACTAAATATCTTAAATAAAAATATAAAAAATAGCGAAATATTGTATAAAAAAATAATTAACATTATGTCATAACTTTAAAATAAATAAAATTCAAATAAAAATATAAATAGTTAACATATTCTTTAAATATTTAAATAACTAAATATTTTAAATAATGAAATATTTAACATAACTAAATTTTAAATGGTTAACATAACGAAATTATGTAATAAATTAAAAAAATCTTTAAATTAGAAAAATAATTATAATAGATTTCATAACATTCAAATTAATAATAATTTAATATTTTACAAAATTAATAACGGAATTATATAATAATAGTATAAATTATAATATTTATTATATTTTTAGTAATTATTTATTGCTTTTGCGATAAATATATTTTCAATAATTGTGTATAAATCTAACTTTTTCATATTTAACAATTTTTTTCAATAATTATTGGAGATTAAACTACTACCATTTAACATTTTAAACTTAACTTATTATATTTTTTATAATTTATTATTAGTAATTATGTATTTTTGTTATAATTTATTGATTAATTTCTATTAGAGATTAAACTATTATTTTAGATTACACTATTTATTGACTAATTTAATATATTTTTAATATTTATTGTATTTTTGTAACCATTGTATTTATTATATTTGTATTAGTTCTTTATTGTATTTTCACTACAAAATTATTTTCAATGGTTGTGTATTTATTTTATAAATTTTAATAATTATTGGAGATTAAAGTATTGTTATTTATTAGAGATTGAACTATTAATTTAGCTGAAATTAGGAGTGCACGAGTTGGTTCAGTTCAATTGCAAGTTGCTTGGCCAACCATATTAACCCAGTTAGATTGGGGAGTTGGTCACCCGGAATTAATTGACCATTAGTGAAAACTGGTCAACTTGGGTTATATCGGTTTGGGTCGATTTTTAGTTTAGTTAGTTGGTTCGAATTAAACTTAAAAAATTTAAATTTAAATTTAAAAATTATAGTGATATTATGAAACAATCCTAACTGAAATTAATTTTTGTTATTTTTCTATTGTAAAAATATTCTTAAAAGTAGTATATAAAATATGAATAATTATTAATTATTTAAAAAGTTAAAATATAAAACAACTGTATACTTTTATGTGTTTCTATTATTTAACTTTCACTTAACAAAGCCCCTTCATCGCACGGGGCCCCACTAGTTTATATTTATACTCCTTCCAAACTAAGCTCAGTATTCAAATATATGAGACAAATATAAGGCTGTCATATGTAACAGGACAAAGACCCCTTGTATTATGGGATTAGTGACAATTATGCCTCTAAACTTTCATTTGCAACAAAGACCCCTTGAACTTTCACTTTGTGACAAAAATGCCTATATGAAGTTTCCATATTTTTTTTTCTCGTCCTTTTTTCTTAAACCCTAAATGACCCAATAATACCTTCATTTTCTCCAAAAACTACTACAATAATAAGAATCATTTCTCTAACATAAAAAACAAGTTTCTTTAAAATCTTGTTTTGTTTCTATAACATGAATGTCTCTCCTCATTTTAAAATATAAAAATTATCCACTCCTTTCTCCAATGAATCAAGACAAACAAAACAATTTTATCTAGATATTGAATCCAACTAGAAGTTTGCAAGGATCTATTAGAGCAACCGAGAAGGCTTCAATATTATATTTAGAAAACTAATTGAATCATATGTCATTCAAATAAATAAGAAAAGAGTAGTATAGGGATTTTAAAAATTTTAAATGGCTGAATGAGAATACTTTTCAAAGTTAATTGACATAACTCTTATGAAAGGAGGTATTTATTGCAAAGTTAAAGTTCAGGGAGGTTTTTGTTATAGAGGTTCTTTATAATTTACCCTTAGAAAAGCAACAAAAATGAATTGGGATATGCTCCTCACACTGACCTCATAGTCACGTCCCTCCATGTATTGGGGACATCTCCCCATGAATAATAAATACATGTCTCCGATGTGCAACTAGGCCATGCTGTGGGGTTGGTGTGAGTAGCACTTTATAAGAAGCAAATCCAGAGATCCAGACACAACAAAAAATCTATTACCACTATTAAAGATGAGAATGATTAATGGCTCCTCGTTGAACACCCTGATTTTTATTTCCAAATTTACCCCTATTAATAATACAAATTTATTATCTCATCTCATTATTAAAAATAAGAATGATCAATGGCTCTTTGTTGAACACCCTATTTTTATTTCTAAATTTACCCTTATACAAGTGCCCTAAAAAGATGAATATGTGGACATCCAAATTCTCCATGTAATGGTTACCCTACTAAGGTAGTCATAATGTTGGTTAAATTTTTATCAAATATCAATGTGGCTGAACCATGGTTATCAGACCGAAAAACTGGGAATCAGTCAAGTGATCGGTTTCGTTTTACCCCAGAACTGTTATTTCCTAGAAAACTATAGATTTGGTCAGCAAACCGCTGACCCGGGCGGTCGAACCGTTTGATCTGTTCAACGGTTTGGCCGATTTTTTTCTTATTTTTTTATTTTTTTGTCAGAACGGGTCGTTCGTTTGGTTTGAACGGTCGGACCGTTCAACCCTGGAACTAGACCCCTGACTGGTTCGTTGTCCGGATCGGTTTCAAAAACCTTGTGTTGAACAACTCTCACATTATTCTGGACTATTTTCATGATATTAAATGGAATCAAATCATCATGATAAGTTCAAAACTTCTCCTTCAAGGACGGTTGCTCCTTGTGCTGCGAGGTGGAAAGGGCTACTTGCTTTCCCCTTCTACTGCGGGATGAGACCTGGGAAGTCTCTCCTCGGTGAGGAGGACGGTTGCTCTGAAGGCAGTTGAGCTGTTATTGGTTCTGTGGCATTATCGGGCACCGCGGTGGAGCTGGCTGCTGGTAGAAGTGATGCAGGACTTGTTGCATCTGGGCCTGAATGGCTTGCACACATTGTACCAGGTCATTCAGTTGGTTTTGTCCAACCGCAGGATGAACCACGGAGGGTTCAGTGAAGGCAACACCCATCACAAGAGGGAGCGGGGCGTTCACTGGCTCAGGGGCTTGGGGTAGATTCAACGAGGGGACCCCAAATGCATTGAGCGGCACGGTGAACTGACCGATATGTATAGTGGGGGCCTGAGGTTGCCCCCCGGAGGTATTCATCTCGTTGTTCTGCCCGACGTTGCTAGAAGATGCCATTAACACTAATGGATGCTTAGCAAAGAAGGCTTTTTGAAGCGCTTCCCATAGATGGTGCCAATTGATGAAGTGCAATCCGACCGCTCCTAGCTGGAAATGACTTGGCTCCTAGCTAACGACGGGCTTGAGTGACCTGTGCGAAGAGAATTAGAGAGCTCGGGGTGGTTCACCCGGCGGGGCCACTCCGATGCTTAAGTTAGCACTTGGTTGAGAGCTAGAAAATAAGATTGTAAGAGAATGAGAGAGCTAAAAAGCAGTGGTTACG